GTAATCTTGGTGCTTTAGCATACCAAGACATTTTAGAAAATGCTATGCTTCCAACTTTGTGGGAACATTTTGGGAAAGCCCCTTTTCTATCCCAGCATGACTGTACCTCAGTGAACAAAGCAAGATCCATAAAGACATGGTTGGATTAGTTTGGTGTGGAAGAAAGTAACTGGCCATCACAGAGCCCTGACCTCAACCCTATCAAACATCTTTGGGATGAGCAGTAATGGAGATTGTGATTTAGGACTTCTCATCCAACGTCAGTGTCTAACCTCACAAATGCTGTACTGGATGAATGGGCAAAAATTCTCACAGAAACACTCCAAAATCCTGTGTTAATGATTCCCAGAAGAGTGGATGCTGTTGTAGCTGCAGAGGTGGAACCAACTATCCTATTAATGTCTGTGTATTTAGAATGCAATGTCATAAAAGTACCTGTTGGTGTAATGGTCAGGTGTCCCAAAATGTTTGTCCATATAGTGTATATCACATTGGTGATAATTATTGCAACCATAGGCCATGCCATTTGTTGGCTTATTCATAAAACATCAAAGTGTAACTGGGAGGTTCTTTCTGCTCTCCCTGTCAATCAATTTTTTGGCATAGAGCATGGTTCAGCAACCTATGGCATGTGGGCCATGCATGGCACTCGAGGTGCTTTTGCACTGCACTCAAGGCTGCCAGAGCAAAACAGACTCTGGGATATCAGGAGTCCTAGTGGGACTTCAGATATCTGCTAGTGCAAACCAAGCAGTGATTGCAAGTGGTGAGGGACAATCCTCAATCCTCATTACAGCACTTAGAGGAAGTGGTCTCAGATCACTTCTTTCCAGACTTGTGAATGGGAATCTGCACTGGAGTAGAGCAGCCCACAAGAGCTATCACAACTTCTGCCGCTGACCTGTACCTGGCCAGGCCAGTCCCTAGTGAACCCAATGGAAGCCACCCACACTCCTAGATATACACAAAGCTGCGAAGAAGCCTCCCTCTCATGCAAATAATACAAACAGCCCACACACAAATACACACACACAGTCACTACAAACACAACACCACTTTCAATACATATACATGCACACAACCACACAAGCAGCCTCTCACGTGCAATAAGACAAGTATCCCCACACATACACACACCACCAAAGAAACTATGTGACATATGATTCACACACACAATTTCTCAAGCAGCCCCCATACACAGCCCACATTCTAAGGTATCATACACAATAGCACAAGCTACTCATAAACATGTACAATATAACAGCCCGCACACACACACACACAAATACAACACTACAAAGCAACTGCAGCACCCAAAAATAACACAACCAGAATACGGCACCATACACCATAAAAAATGGGACTTCAAGATCTTGTTTTGGCACAGTACTACTGATCGGTTGCTTACCTCTGGCATAGAGTCTATGCCAAAGAATTGATTGACAGGTGAGTAAAAAAAACTATTTTTAAAGAGGTTTTCCTCCAAATCTATACATTTGCTTGCAAAACAGCTAGCACAATGTAAAGATGAAATTCCATGTTCTTTCTAAAGAGCATACATGGTTTGGGGATTGACAGGTCACCTTTCAATAGAAAATGGTGAAAGAGAGCAACCTATCTTTTGGTCTTTTTCTCCCCTTTTATCTGCTTGGATGATTATGGCAGAATTGTTTTATGCTTCTCTATTTTACATGTATCCATGCAATAAACAGGATCTGTGTTTTTCCACAAAATTCACACGCCTGCTTTAAACCCTGCTGTGAAGGTATATCTGCTTGGCTTGGTCTGTTCATTACGGTGAAACCATAATAACTAAATGGATAAATGATGTCACTGCTAGGTTATCAAGACATTAATAACACTGTGATGTCACACTGTGCGGAGTGTCTCTGTGAATTACGGGATCCCTACATTCAGAACTCCCGTATTTTCCAATAATATATCTGGCACCATTGCGTATCAGTAATTTTTAAAAGACATTCATTCAGTTTATTATATTCTACTGTGATTCATTATTAGATGATGAATTCAACCTTTTCTTTATAACGCCTGAATTTCATTCTTGTTTAGACCTGTGCACATCTAAAAAAAGGGGTAATATTCAGAAATCAGGTTGAGTTTAAAATTTAAACGTTACGAGACAAGACGTTGTAGTGAATCTTCCGACATTAACTTCCTTGACCTTTTGTGTACAGGAGAAAGGCGTACAGCAAAGTAGAGATTAATATAAAGTATGTCTTTCCAGCAACCAGAGGAGTTAATTTAGCCCTGATTTTTGTGATTTGAGCTCAGAGCTCCAAGAAATAAACTTCAAAGTTTTCATAACCTGATTTTAAATGTTAATGAATCGCTTAGTGTGTCTGTAAAAATGTCACACAAGTCTTGATGTTGCTATCTGTAGAATCAGTTGATGTTCTTCAGTTTCCACCTAACGTATCATTTCATGGATTCCGTTTCAGTTGCTGACGTTTACATTTTGTAAATGTCTGTGAATTTTGTAGGCAGTGATATAACTGGCTGACCTCTCAAGCCATTAGGATAATGAGAGGAATACACACGATTGTCCTTATAGATTACCATATCCAATTTATCACCTCTGCCGGGTGCTATGCCAAGCTGCATTATTATTTATTATTATTATTACTGGTATTTATATAGCGCCAGCATATTCCGTAGCGCTTTACAATATTATCAGGTGGGGAGATTTAACAATAAATGAGACAATTACAAAAACTTACAGGAACGATAGGTTGAAGAGGGCCCTGCTCAGATGAGCTTACATTCTATACCAAGTGTTACAATTAGTTCTGGTCAGAGGAAACTGGCTTTTTACAATTGTTGTGTTCCAGAGATGCGTGGATGACAGTTTTGTATTCTCATGTTTAAGTTGTAATATTGCAGAATTTAGCCCATTGACTGCTGTATGTGCTAGCCTTTCAAGACCTCTCTGCCACTGCCTGGAGAAATGACTAGGATATTACTGCGTGTGTAATATCAGCATATATCCCAAGTAACCCTAGTTTGGAGGGACAGTCCCTATTTTGGGCCCAAATCTCTGTCCCTCTTTTTTTATCCCAATGTTTCTCTATTCCATGAGTGCCATATTGTTTGCTTGTCTGAGTGTCTAACAGCACTTTACAGCAATAATACTCACAGTATGTGTTTAGAAATCAGTCTGTGTAAATAAGAAACATTGTCCTTGTGCTAAATTACATTTTAGTTGCATAAATTATTAGAATGTCACCTAAAATTTTTCTCAACATCCCTGCCGCTGACCACACCCCCAGTCACACCCTAACATTAAAGTGTCCCTCTTTGTCCATGTGAAAAGTTGGTGTCAGAATCGTGTGGAACCAGAACACACAGACTGATTCATAATAAATAGACTTTCTGTATACCGGTCTTTAGAATGTCCGGAATAACAGACAAACAGAGTCAATAAGGATAGCCAAAGTAAAATTAGGATAAACGTTAAATAAGCTGAGGTCAAAGGATCACAAAAGACAGGAACAATGATGAACCGGAACCAGAATAATAACCACAGAAGACTATAACAGTAACGCATTATTGGGCTAGCAAGCACCACAACAGGGCAACGAGGAATGGGAGTGGTAAGTCTTAACTCTCAGTGGTCCAAGTCAGCTTAGAATTATGAATTCATGGACGGTAATTGAATTTTCTTGTGTGACCTCTGATGTCATATTTGTGCGCCGAATTCGGTTTGGCGAATGCGGAATTCAGGACCTCATTCAGTCGCACATACACGCACGCTGTGCGCAAGCGCGAAGTGTCAGACAGAACGTCAGAGGGACCAGGGAAGTGGGCAGCAGACCAGAGAGGTAAACGGGTGGCAGGCCTGACAGTTGAGAGGTATCTACTAGCAGTCTACCAGCAGTCTGGGACATCATTATAGCAGTAGGTTGGGTAAAATTCAGGTTTATTTTTTATAAAAGGGCATATAGAACCGATCAGAAATATGCATGCAAACTAAACATTGTACATAAATAAAGGTCAGTTGGTTCTGTGCTGTTTGTTTAGCTCTCCTATCCTAGATGAGCACACTAAATATACTATCAGATTTATTGTATGTATTTTGTGTAATTTCATATTGCAGAGCAAATGAGTAGCCTGCAGTCTGCAGTTCTAAACACAGTAAATACTAAGTAACACTTCTCTTTGCTGCAAATCCTGGCATTCTTTGTGGATCCACCTTTTAATGCCTGAGACTTCATGCTTAGCATTGTGGGATTGATCCATGTTCAGCATGGGAGCATTAACACAGCCCAATGATAGGAAGTAAACGTCAATTGATTATACATTTCTTTATACATTTACTGGAAATGTTGCTGGCGCCATGAAAGTTAAAATGTTGAAATGTCATAGATGAAATATTATGATCTGCTAGAAGACAACATTAACTACAGATTTAAAAAGTCTACCAAGTAATGTAAGAATGTGTTACTACACTGAAAAAGTGATGGATGCTTACCCTTCCGGAAGATGTGATTGAGTTTATTGGGACACTTTACTGGGACACTTAGAAGTACTGCAGCTAAAAATAGAATTAAAAAAAGACACATGCCTTTAAAGTTTCCTTCAATAAACCTTCAAGCAGACCCCAGACCTCCTGGTCCTCTCATCACTTATATATTACTGTGGCTGCTATTAACACATAGCCCATTTCAGTTTAGTAACTTGGACTACATGCACTGATTGATATACAGAGCAGAGAATGAAAGCCGCTTAAATTGCAGCTCTGAGGAGCGGGCTTGGTGCCATCACCTTTGTTTTTATGCCAAGCTGTGATGATGCTCAGATTGACCCTTTAATGGGACCAGTGGAAGAAAGTATTTTTGGGCCCCCTCTCTAACCCAAGGTTGGCCAAAATGTAGATCCTCAGCTCCCACAATGCCTTGCCAGCAGGGGATCTACAGAGCCTTAAGGGCCCCACGATCGACTGCACAGTCAGAGCTGTGGAACTACAGACTCTCTCTGCTCACTTCAAAGGGCAGCTACAAGGCCCGTAAACTGTCTTGTGCCATGGTACAGTCACACCGGCTGCATCGCTGGTAGTTTTGTATCTGAAAGGGACACTCCAGACCCCTAAAATACTTTATCTTGCTGGAAAGCTTAATGTGTGAAGAGTATGTCCTCTTTTTTCATTTTATAAAAAAAGCAGATTTCCATGGAAATTGGCACTTTTATAAATTAAACTAGTTACACCCTCCTTGCTGTCAATCAGACAACCGTCCCTGTTACTTCCTGATTTGGTTAGCTCAGTAGGGCTAAACTCAAGAGGTACCAATTGCTCAGAGCATCTGCTTTGCAAAAAACTTCTCATTGAGCTGCATTGGGAAGGCTGTGATTGGACAGCCACATAAAGTCTGGGTGGAGTTAGAAGGGGCAGGCTTGCAAATTTTAGCTATACCCCAATGAGAAAATCCATCATTAAAAATGCATTGTTCCCTAAAGCCTCAATAAGTGCCAAGTAATATAAAAGTATTGGACTAAATATTCTTGGATTTCAAATAGAGTAAACCTGACTGCATTTATGGGCACACTAGTCTAGTAACTAGGCTAGTATTCCAGCCACCATGATAATGCAGTTACCATGGGGACAGGGAACAGTTTTTCTAAAAAAAACACTGACTGTGATATTTTTCTACTCTTGAAACATTATTGCATTATGTAGCCAAACAGAAGCTAAACATTAATTGTCAAAATAAGAACATTAAATAAATGAAATTGAAGTTTATTATAAATGATAGCCACACGTCCCTGGAAGTATCTACTTTTCCAATCGGATATATATCACCATCAAATGTTATCACTCCCATCTGTAGGAAATCATATGGCACAGTCATATGGCAGATTGGTGCAGACCTGTTGATGGCTACATGAAATAAATAAATGTATTGTTTTCAAGGTTTCTTTTTCTAATAAGTCCTACTTTACAACATTATAATATGTTCATGAAATATATTTAATGCCGTTAGAGTGGATCTGTCACTTTCTCAAATCCTACATCTATCAGTTAAGTATTTTTTTTTTAAAAAATCTCTACGATGGCATTCATAGATTCAATTAATGGCATCTCTGGTGCTGGACTGATCATTTTAATAATGCATGAAAATATATGCAAAAATACTATATTGAGAGTAGTAAAATATATACGCCCACAACGAAGTCAGGGCATTTGCTGCCATTCCCCAGGCATTGCATTTTCTGCAGTGAACTCTGCCCAGCCCATGAACTGACTCAGCCAGTCAGGTTGGAAGGGTGGAGCAGTAAGATGAGGCTTATGTAATAAAACTTATTTTTATAAAAATAAATAAATATATGAATAAAGAAGATAAATCATTTAAAAAATACCAGTCAAAAACAAAAACAAAAAAACTAATTGCTTTTTTTTTGCCATTTCAATATATGTATTTGTCTTAACAGTAAAAGAAGCCATCTTACCTTTGTTTAAAAACATGATTTTTTTTGCCCGGCGACCATAGATTAAGGAGTCATGGGAGGAGGGTTAAAGAATTATGAATGTATACATACACCATGAATGTATCTCTTAAACAGCTCTAACTTGATGTATATCCATTATATTGCATACCATCCTGACATGTTACTAAACACTCAGCAAACATATCCTGGAGGAAGTCTTAGAGGCCTGACATTACCCAGTCCATCCCGTAGCTTCAAGGTCAGATCTGTCAAGTTCCCAGGCATGGTGAATTCAATGTAATAAAGAAAACGCTGGATGTTTCTGATTCTTAGTGCATTCTGCTTTGTGTCTGTTTGGGTTTTTCTATTCCGAAATCAACACTAAATTCTCTTTTCTGACAGGTATCGTTTATTTCTCTTCCTTATCTCCATAGTAATATGCTTTGTTGTGACCAACTCCTTCCTGCTGACGTGCTGTGTGCCCATGTTGATAATGGGCTTGAGGTTTTACTACAGTAGGAAAATTATCCTCAATCACCTGGAGGGTGCACACCATACGGACTTGACTGATATTCATCAATATTACATGAAACAGCCAGGTGAGTATAATCCCCCAGAGTGGAACAGCTACGTACCTGTCCACCCAGCCACCAGATATTAATTTCTTGCTTTGTGTCATCACAGGGAGATCATGCAAAAAACTCCCAGTTTTCTTTTACTGTTGGGTTTGTTTGTTTTTCTTGTAATATGGAAAATCCATGCATGCTCTTCTGTATAGGTTCGAATAACCTGGTTTTGTGGTTATGTTTTGTGTATATCTGACTTCAAGTTAAAGCTGAACGCAATGGCATTTCTCGGAAGATCAATACACAGTGAAGGTAGGTTTACTTTTCCTCTATATTATATATTTTTTCAAATGGGCAGAATTTTAACTGTTAAAATATGTGGACGGTGGACTTTGGTAGATGTCATGTGACCAACATAGATACTCAGATGACTCCCTGAAATGGTCATTATTCTTAACTTTGATACATCATACATTTTGCTGTACGTTCTTTTCAAAGAAAACTAAAACAGATTTTACATTATAATAAATTAAGCACAGTAGCACCTTATACTATAGATCAGTGGTTCCCAGACATTTCAAGTTCAAGGCGCCCTTAATATTTAAATATTTTCCCAAGGCGCCCCAAGTCAAAAATACCTATAGGTTGTATACATGTACAGTGCTGCAGCATATACCTGGCCCCTGTTCCAGATCCATAACCTAATCTCAGGAGAGGCACTGGGGGATTATTTAAAGAAACAGTCCAGACACAATAACCACGCTGTAGTGGTTATGGTGCCAGGAGTGCCGTGGTGCCCTCCCAGGGTAAGTAGTCAAACTGTTTAAGAACAGTTTGACAACTTACCTGTGGTCTGCCAGGATAGGGGCTGTAATAGGGTATAGGGACAGTGGTGTGTGTGTGTGTATATGTGTGTGTAGTGCAGTGTGTGTACGGGGGTGCATTGTGTTTGTGAAGGATGTAGTGTGTGTGTGAGGGGTGCATTGTGTGTGTGTTTGTGAGGGGTACAGTGTGTGTGTGGGGGGCAGTGTGTGTGAGGGGTAACGTGTTTGTGTGGAGGCAGTGTGTGTGAGGGGTACAGTGTGTGTGAATAGGGGGCAGTGTGTGTGTATAGGGGCAGTGTGTGTGTATAGGGGCAGTATGTGTGTATGGGGGAGAATTATTGGGGGTCTGTGGGGTTGGAGGGTAGATTAATAAATATATATATTTTTTTTAAATAAAAAAAATAATAATTTTGAAATCCCCCCTCCCTGATTACCTTTGAATTGGAGGGGGACAGTACAAGGCAATCCCTGGTGGTCCAGTGTATGAGCCCTGGTTGTCCCAGTGGTGAGAGTGAACTCTAGCAGCCTCAGGAGCTGCTAGATTTAACTCTCGCGAGATTCGGAGAGTTGCCATTTTAACTGCGGCAACGCTCCGAGCTAGCAAGAGAAAATATGGCGGAGCTGCAGGTTAGAGCTCCCACAGGTCCTCTCTCCCTCCCCTGCCAGCTGCCAGCATTACACTGCTAGCGGGCCAGTGAGGGAGATCTCTGATCTTCGGTCCTGCAGAGCCAGCAGGGGAGAGGGAGGCACAGTTCCCGGTGATATGATAGTATGATCATAGCACCGGGAAAATGTTTTGCGGTGCCCCGATTTTGCGGCGCACAATTTGGGAACTGCTGGTATAGATTGTTTGATCAACCATTTCCCCCCCAATATCACATTTGATATCAAACATACAGGCCACTACCATTATTCGTATGTAGGAGGAATTCACTTGGTTCCAGAGGTACATCTATCAATTAATCACTATGGAGATACCACTGAAACAACATATTCCTTTCAAGCAGTATGCTTCCAGGCAGATCCCTTCATGTATCTCCAAGCTATCTTATGTCAAGCATTACTGCTGATTTACAATTGATGGTAATGCAATTGTTTGTTCCTTCAGTAGGCAACTTTCGGCACTTTGGATGTTGTAGAATACATGTCTCGTAATGCTTTGCCAGCATTATAGGTGTAACTGCAATAAGGGAGATAAAGTCCACAACATCTGGGATGCTGAAGATTGCCTACCCCAACAGTAGATCTATGTAAGTAACAGGCCATAAAATGTGCTTGTAATTTCCAAATGCAGCAAGGTATCCATTAAGGGTTTGAGCGATGGCTAACCTTGTACAGAGATGTTTATACACTTAATTTCCCATAATGCTCAGTCATAGGATGTGCAGCTCATAAGTGGCATGGAGCAGAGGTTACCAATGACTGGAATAATTGTGTCACGCTAGTATTATTTGCAGTTTAGAGTTGTAGCGGACCCAGTGTAACCCGACCGGTTACCTCCGCTAATTCCCTTCCTTCAGCCGGTCAGGAACCATTTACAGTATCAAGAGACCCATTTCCCTCCCTCCCCCCCCAATAACTGGACGACACACAGTCCTGGAGGTACAACACAATTTTATTGGCCACACACTGCTTTTATGCATAACCCCATGCAAGTACACATCCCATGACTCTCCCCCTCTCTGTGGTCCCAGCGTGGGAAGGGACTCTTTTCCCTTTGTCCCCAAAGACCTCCACTAAATCTAAAGGGTTCCCCACACCAACCGCCAGGAGTCCCTGTGCTTGGGAGTCTAGGCACAGGAATAACGGTCCATCCCTTTGTCTCCTAGGCACAGAAAAGCCCGTCTGCGGGAAAAGAGCTGGTCTCTTTGTCTGTCAGGCTCAGGAGAGCCTGCCAAATTCACCAGTGCTCCTAAAGTGCCCACACCAATCTCAGGGACCCTCGCCTCGGTTCCTCAATCCCGTTTGTGAGGTCCTGGTGTGAAACCCAGACAAGGGAAGCATCTCTTTTCGGGGTATGAATGCTCCCCCTGGCTGGTGTTCATCTATACGAATGGCGAGCACTCATTGATTACTTTCACACCTATGTTGCGAGTGCGAATGTTCTGATTAATTGCTGTGAACGTCCTAATGGGGCACCGGGGAGGTCCTTGTTCGGGAAATAAACGAGGCAGTAAACAATCCACAAATGCTCCCCCTGGTGGCATTGGCCTGTGGGAATGGTGGCCACCCAGGGAAGCACTCCTTAATTGTTTCCCTTGCAATTTGTGGTTTTGACACTTATGCTGCAAGGTGTGAACATTCTAACCTAAATGAGGTATTGGGGTGGTCCTCATTCGGGAGGTGAATGAATTCCCTTCATGGAAGCACTCCCGAATGGGGAGCGGGCACAATAAGCGAACACATAGGGGAAACACATGAAAAAGAGAAGAGGCAATTCACGAACAGCAGCGGTTCTGCCACAATGTAATTGATAGTACTTTGCTAAGCAGACAAGTATCAGTCATTTCCTAACATATAATGACTAGCCCATACTATTTCATGAAAGCATGCCTTTAAAATATACTGCAGTATTAAGAACTTGCCAAGTAGCTAGAGGAAGGGTCTTTGTTCAAACCCGATCAGTCTTGTTTGTGGCACATGACGAGCTTGGGAACATTGGTGTAGTGGAAAACAAAAACAAGTAACGTCTTACTGATATTTTGTTAATGTATCAGCCATTAATTCTACAGTTGCCAAAACACACAGATTCTGCAACTGTAGTGATTAGTACACACAGATCTGCATCTTTCATATAGCTAGTAAATGTAGCATTTTACCTAATGTTAGGAAATGGGAAGTGTTTTCTTTTTCATTTTTGTATTCTGTGTGGCAGTCACGAGAGAGAGAGAACAGCCAGTTGCTGTTTAAGTGAGGTCTTGGGGACGACTCAAAGCATCGCCTTGGGAATTAGACTTGCTGGGCTAATGCCTCTTAGTGGCTGTGAATTGTTTCCAGCCAGAGTGGGTTGAATTAATTCTGTTATGCCAGACCTACGTTTGATGGTCTGCATTCAACTTGTGTAAGGCACATGTAGTAGACTGTCATGCAAGGCACATGTGGGAGACTGTCCACTCATCTCATTTATTATTTCAGCAATTTTATACTCTTCCTCTGTGGCAGCCAAATATTGCCGGCCTGGTGCCAACTTCAGTTCTGTGGTCCTAGCCTGTTTATGCTAATGCTTACTATTGTGTCTCCTTAGTTACCCAAAAAAAGTGGTTTGCAACTAATGCAGTTCCTGCTACCAAATTAATATATGAAATATGTTGGCGCTCCCCATGATCCTGATCTATTACTTTACAAAATAAGATGTCCTTATTTATGCAAGTCCTGCCTAGGATTATATTTTACTATATGATGGTTACATGCTGATATTGCAATCCAGGTATTGCCTGCTACCATCTCAATAAAAATGTAAAAATATGTATGTATTATTTCTAAATCGCTTAATTCCAATTGGAAACCAGCTCAAGTTCACTGTCTAATGTCTGCCATTGTAAAGTCTCTTTTAACATGTCCTTTATTTTTTAGAGGATGGTGGCAGGGGGCATCACACATATAAATGTTTAGACCAGTTTACTGAAAAAACAATTTGTAAATCAACAGTAAGCAATATGCTAAAATAGTCTTGCATTTAGTTGTGGTCCAGCTAGTTGGACAAAATGATTGCCATGGACTTAGCTGAAATGTTATCAATCTACAGAGAGTTAAAGGTAATTTTGTGCGAGCAATGTAAAAATAAAATAAAATATAGGGTTTCAGTCATACGCTTGCTATGGTCTTATAGAGGGGCTGGGGAGGTTTGAATGTAAAGCCCTCCAGCCCACAGATCTTTTTTTGCAGCAATTACCTCCATGGGCTGGTGGAGAGATCAACGATTGCATCTCCAGCCTATTGCACCAACTACTGGAAGGAATGGTGACCCTCTTCTGGGTTGCTCCCATGAACTCCTGGCAGTTCAGAGCGTTGCTGTGGGTTACCATGGCAACATTCTGATACCTTTATTCCAGAGCTCGCCAGATCCATTATACAAGTATTACAAAAACGTACCCCCCCTTGTGCGTAGCTCATCTTCAATAGTGGGTCTTAACATAACTGACAGATTAATATTTTACTTTGTTTTACCTTGAATAAACTGCAGCGTTTCAATTAAAATTAAAAAATGTGTGTTTAGGGCTCTGTTGCCCTTTCTCCTGGTTGTTCACCATATTGCATTATTGCATAACTAATGTTCACACTGCAGATATACCAAGGGCTGTACGCAGTGGCGTACATACCGCAGTCGCAGGGGTCGCAGCTGCGACCGGCCCGTCACTCCAGGGGGCCCGGCTGCCCTGTGGACCCCTGCGACCGTGTATCAGCTGCCACGTTTTGCGGCCCCGGCCCGCATGGTAATCCGCCGGGGCCGCATGTTAAGAGGTCCATTGGATGGCCCATGCTTTCAGGGCCACCCGATGGATATGGATTGTAAGGGGGCCCGGTCGCGCTGTTAAAGCACCCAGCGCTGACCGGGCCCCCTGTGATGACATCCCACTGAGCTGGGAGGAAGCGACTTCCTGGTCACTTCTCCCAGCATACAGAGGAAGCAGGAAGGAGGAGGGCGTCAGAGTGGGAACTCTGACTCCCATCAGGCTGAGCCACCACTGGACCCCAGGGAAATTCACAAAAGGTAGGAAATATTTTGTGTATGTGTGTGTGTGTCTCTGTATGTTTGTGTGTCTGTTTTGTGTGTGTCTGTCTGTGTATGTGTGTGTGTCTCTGTATGTGTGTGTGTGTCTGTGTCTCTGTATGTATGTGTCTGCATGTGTGTATGTATGTGTCTGTGTGTGTGTGTGTATGTATGTATGTGTCTATCGGGGGGGTGTGTGTCTGTATGTATGTGTGTGGGGGGGCCCACAGTCAGGGGGGAGAGGGTCAGGGTAGAGGGGGATGGGGGAGGGTGGCCCACGGATCAGTTTCGCACCGGGGCCCCATGGATTGTGTGTACGCCACTGGCTGTACAACTATATTTTACATGCTATTAGATCTACCGCTGGAATCAGTGCTACATGTCTTTACAGGATCTGATTTAAACAGCGATGCGGAATGTGATGGCGCTTTTTCAATAAAGTATAATATTAAGAAGGATGTAATAAGTATTTGGACGGTATTTGTAAAACAAGCAGGATTCAGAGTGGTGCTCCTTAAAACCTTTCCATTTTCCTCCTGCATTGGATGCAATAAGAATTATTTACTTAGAAAGCTAATTTAATTTACAAGATCTTAGCCAGATACACATTTAGCAGAGCGCTTTAAATTGTGTTAAAAGACAGAAAGTGTAACAGAGCTCAAATAAATTACATTTGTATATTCCATGTAATGATTTTTCTGTTATGACACTGAAAAATATTGACTTTTTGTTATATAATCTCATTTAACATGCAAATGGTTAGATTGATGTCAGGACTGTAGTACTCAAAGTTACAAGGGGGCTACTTACTACAACCTTTTATGGAGAAATACCCCCGCAGGTCTAAAAAAAATTACTACGTAACCCTGACTCGAGAAAGTAATTTCTATTGATTTAAATTCCAAATGAAATGTGTATACACTGATATTTCAGTTAATGCCATACTGGAAAACAAGCCGAATTAATTAAGGATATTTTAATATAATGTGAATATTGTGTATGTTGGGAGGAGTTTATCAACTATTAATCTGAAGTATAAAAGTTCCAAAATGAAAATATAATACACATATAATAGTTACACACAGAGGACAATGACACACACACATTTACACACAGAGGACACTGACACACACACAGAAAACTCTGACACACACATTTATACACACAGAGGACACTGACACGCACACTTACACACAGAGGACACACTTACTGACGGACATACTCTCACTGATTTGATACACACTGACAGACACACTTACACACACACACACACACTCACTGACAGACACACACAGAGGATACTGACACACACAGTCACACAGAGGACACTGGCACCTATGATTATGCACAGCTTACACAGACACACACATTTACGCAAAGTGGACACTGACACACACATTTACACACAGAGGACACTGACACGCACACTTACACACAGAGGACACACTTACTGACGGACATACTCTCACTGATTTGATACACACTGACAGACACACTTACACACACACACACACACTCACTGACAGACACACACAGAGGATACTGACACACACAGTCACACAGAGGACACTGGCACCTATGATTATGCACAGCTTACACAGACACACACATTTACGCAAAGTGGACACTGACACACACATTTACACACAGAGGACACACTAGCTGACAGATACTCTCTCTAATTTGACACACACTAACAGACACTGACAAATGGCAGAGGTGTTGATAAAATACATATGAACAAAGTAAAATACAAATCTAGTGTCGGTGTGTTTAAGGGTGCTTACAGAAGTTTAAAGAAATCTCTAATCTTTAATTAATTAAATTCCCTTAGCTGCTAACCACTACTTTGTGTAAAACCTTTAAATACTTAAAAATATACAAAGATAGTGAGATTGTATTGTAGCACTTAAAGAGTTCAAAGGGCGAATAAACCAACCAATTTTGGTTGGCACCAGGCACAAGAGGGAAGGAGTCCCCCCATAAGAGAGACTAGGGCCGGTGCAAGGATTTTTGTCGCCCTAGGCAAAATAAACATTGCCGCCCCTCCCCCCATGACATCACAATGCCCCACCCATATGATCTGCCATATGAACTAACGCCAGTGCTGCACACAGTGTGTGTTTACATTAAAAAAACCTGCAGGGACCGGCTATAGACACCAGAACCACTTCATTAAGCTATAGTGTCCCTTTAATGTGAGGTAAATTAAAGATTAGTGTCACTAATAATATACTAGATTGCCTACTTGCAACCAGATGAGGATGATGATGGGCTGCAGCTTGGCTCCACTGGTCTGGTGTAGAACAGGGTCTCTGGAGGCTGTTTGCAACTGTGGTCACAAAATTCAATGTTCTGGGAGAACGGGAAGCAGCTCCATTTTTTTGGGGCCCCTTACACAGCTCAAGGTCTGGGCCCCAGGGCCTGACAGTGAGTATGCCCAGAACGCTCACCCATAAGTCCACTTACATGTTCCACCCATGAGTTCGCTCACAGGGAGTGGAGTGTGTAGGGGATGTGTTATGTGTTATTGTAGAGGATCTAATGTGTGTGCTTATGGAATGTAGTGTATAGGGATACCAGTTTGTGTAGGTGATGCAGTGTGTGTAGTGGATGCAGTGTGTTTTTTTTGTAAGGGATAGAAAACAGTGTGTTTGTGTGTCAGGGATGTATTATGTGAATCTGTGTTTGTATGTGTAAGGGATGCAAGGTGTGTTTCTGTGTATGTAATGGATGCAGTGTGTGTGTCTGTAAGGGGTGCATTGAGTGTGTGTAAGGGTGCACTGAGTGTGTACAATTGTTTGTATTTTTACATTTAACTTATATTTAGATGTTAAACTATATCTTCCAATTTCCTGCTTTAGACGTGTAATGTAGTCAGTGGGTTAGTTAGAAATATGACTATGTCATCAGCATAAAGACATAGTTTGGAGTCTATTTTTAACATGGAAACAATTGATATTGGTGTTTTCTCTTAGACTGATGGCAAACAGCTCTGCTGATAAATTATAAAGTAGTGGAGACAGAGGACATCCATGTCTCGCTCCACTGGAGAGACTAAACCAAGAAGAGCATATGTTTATTCTTATTGTTCTAGCAGTCAGACAAAATAAATAGAGAGCCGTTATGTCATTCTGTAACCAATTCCCCAAAACTAAGGCTAACAAAATCTTATTCAGATATTCCCAACTGACCCCTTCAAATGCCTTTTCAGCATCCAATGACTGGGTCAGCAGGGGACGTCCATCCTCTCAGCCTGATCCATAACATCTAATAGTCTTCTAGTATTATTAGCAGACGATCTTCCAGTAACAAAGCCAACTTGTTCTGCATGGATCAAAAAAACGCAGAGGCTTCTTAATTCTATTAGCCAATATGCTGTGTATAGCTTAATAAGAACATTAATTGGTGATATTGTTAGGTAATTGGTAACATCTTCAGGAGTTTATCTGATTGGGATGACATATATCTTTATGCTTTGTTGGCTGTTTCCTATGTTATAATATGTGTCTAGTTACCCCCCTCTCACTCCCTTTTATAGTGGTTTGCAGACCATTGGAATTGCTAAGTAAGTGTAGAAATGCTTCTTATCTCAGCTTAATAAGAGTCTACTTGTTAGACTAACAACGTATATTTTGTGATCAGCAAAATACTAATAGTAATAGTAACTACATTGTTTACATAGATTTTCCGAAAGTGAAAAATCACATCTGTATTATTTTTGCCAGATCATAAAAAAATATAAAATGTGTAAATGTACTTTTGAATGGACTACATAACCACAATGCATCATCTGTGATCTAAGAATACAAAGTGACACCATTCAATCTAAATTTCACCTTCTAAACTGTAAGCTAAGAATCTAGCGGCTTTGTAATTAACACAATTTAATTGTGTCTAGTGTGTTGGAATAAAAGAGAAAGTGAATATAAGTATATTTATTTATTTATTTCTATATGTTCTTACATATTTAAACAAGGCTTAAGGTTAATTTAGTTTAATCTAATTGAAATATTGGATCATTAGCAATCGATCTGTGCCAATGTTTTATAACCACCAAGGGAATAGCCCTCTTTTTTATCATTTCCATATAAGCAGATTTTAATAAAATATTTAACGAATGGAAATATTGACATCAAATAACAGTGTTTTCACTGATACAGAGTGGCTTCAGGAATTAGATTTGAAATCAATAAAGCACTTGTTTAACGATTTCTAATTATATTCCAACTGTGGATTTTTTTCTTGGCATTTGTTATTAGCAGACTGATGTAATGTGCCACCTTCTGCCAAATAGGGCTTGTTAGCCAAATGGCGTGATTTTCTGTGTGTAATTAAAAGAAAAAAAGAATAAAAAAACATCAGCTATATAACATAGTGACATATTGTAATGTAATTTATTAATAGAGGTCCCAGTGATATGAATACCATAAAATTCATGATTATGTCTGATGGGTAAATTATTTATGTTTGAAGATGAAAAGTGAATATGGACAAGGAATATAGATTAACAACATTTTGTTGTCTCTTAAATGCTAATAGTAAGTTCTACTAAAATTTGAAAGACTAGGCATGACAAGGGTGATCTGGAGACTAAAGTTCATTACAACAACTTGTCTGAAAAGCTGGTAAATAGCGGCCCCTGAAATATTTGTGCACGGCAAACGTTTAGGGTAGTTTGAATCAGTTCATACAAAACTAAGTTTAATTTCAGGCGATTCAGGTTTTGTGAATTTGACGTTTTGGTTCCAAAAAAATGTTTTGGGAAAATTCATTCGAATGAACCAAAGTGGCATAACAATTGGTCAATCGGTGCGCTGCAAAGTATAAATATTATGCATATATTTTGCAGTACACTCATAGGTACGTTTTTGTGCCATTTGGTTCACATATTAAGTGAAAAGAAGTAATCAAATTATAACCATCTTTTTTTTTGTTGAAAGGTGAGGCTGAGGGTTAATATGGGTTCTGTTTACTGAGTAACCAGTGAAGCAAAGAGTATAAAGAATGTGCATGACAGTCCAGGCGAATATTATCTTCAGTTAATACGTTTTGTATAACAAACTACTAGACGATGATTATGCACAATATATAACTAGGAAGCTAAGCTGTTAGATTTTTCCGAACACTTGAGTTATTTTGAGCCGAGCATATTTCTGATGAAACAATATATAATTTGCCAGAAATATACGTCATTTTGTAACTTATTAATGGCACATTTTAAGACTTCCAGAAATATTATTGGCATATGTAGATTACCCTGTCTAACATTGGACTACAGTTCTTAAATGTTTTATTTAGTTGTTCGTACGTAGCACTTTTATCCAGAATACATTACAAAATGTTTTCACATGATCACATATATTGTTACAGAGTGATGGATATAAATAGACAATTGACAAGGGAATTATATATTGTAGACCAAAATTATAAACTGAAAAGGTTTTTTTATTTTTTACTTTGATAATGTTGTCCTAACATTATTACATTATTTCTTCATAATTTCTCGTTTACTACATAAAGTTAAACTAATGACATTACTGGAATGTTAGAACGTTAGAGAAGATCTGTAGTCATTGTTGCCCAGCTTGTTAGTTGGGATACCTTATAGTCAATGAGTAAAATCTGCTTTAAAAAGTGGAACATAAGCATTCAGATTTAGAAAAGTTTAATTTTTGGTGAATTAGTCTTTAGAGACCTAATCTTCTTATCCTGAGACATTTTGTCACTTTTATTAGGAGAGTCAAAATATAATTACACTGCACTGCATGTTCCATTTAAAATATATTCTAGATTCACAACTAGACTTAATTGAAACTCTGCGGTGACTCTTGTCAAATTATCTGTTGCACAAGTAGTTCTGCATCATGTTCTTCATTTTCCTCCTGAAGTTAGCTTTTGTTTTGTGGTGAGCTTCATGGTTCTACATGTCAATGTTATGGTCAAACGGAACAACTAAGGGATATTTATTCATAGACATGAAGTGCCAAATGTGTTGGAGCTACCGGCCAGTGTAATTAAAATCGCGTTGATTGCATTTTTGTGCCCTTGTGCTCTGTTATCCCATAACTAAAGTGTTTGTTACATTTATTTTGTTCCTTTTACTTTGTATGTTTGTGTTGTTTTGTCAATTTTGCTAAGTAATTATCTCTGCGTAATCAGTGTTTAAACACCACACCTGAGACTGTGATGAATTGACATAAGATTTTCAAATTTTAGTAAAATTAACTGAGCTGAAAATATATACAAGTTGATTTTTTTTTTCTGTTTTGTCTATTTTGTCCTTGAATTTGCTGTTCCCTTGTCAGTTCTCTCCAGTTACGAAGTTTAGAGATTAAAGTGTCCCATATGATGCTATTTAAATAATTGTTTTTTAAATTAAGTTCTAATATATAGGTAATTCTACAAGGGGAGCTTACTTCCAGTCTCTTTATTGAAAAGTAGACCAATATATAAAAACAAATGTGTTAAACACACTAATATTATTCACCTATAACAGTTACTTATAATTTGCTGAATATACCTCTACTATGAGCCTCTACAAAACCAGAATCTGGCCGAGGTCTCTTAGCCAATCTCTTTGAAATGAATTGGAGATTTAGATAACAATTCACAAGACCAGCTACGTGATATCACAGACCAGATGGTTAGGACAGATATTTGGACCAAGCTTCTAACCAAGATAGTTTGGGCAGTTTCCAATACATCTATTAAATACCTTTGCAGTAGCTAACAGGAAGAAATAGAGGAACATGGTTTTTAAGTAAAGAGAATGGAAAAGGAAAAAAGATCACTGTAAAACATGTCATTTATTTAGAGTAAAAATCTGAAAGAACTAGGTGCATCCTTATTAAGTCCATTTGTGCTGACGATTGATTGCAGTCATTGTATAACCTCCATGTACAGATGTGGTTATAGCAATAGATGTGAAAAACTAGGATGTTGTCATAATGTTATTTTATTATTGGATATAATTAGTGTTCCAGTTTATTCCTAACATTGGATCATAGACGTGCACAGCCCAATTATTTGGAGTGTGCACACAGGAATCCTTCCCCATCTTCCCTGCCCCTATTGTAATTTTTTTTAAGTGATATAATGTGTATATTTTATTATGTGTTGTGTGAGCGTGTGCCTTGTGTAGCTGTAGGGTGGCTGTAAGTGTTGTAGCTGTGTGTGAGTTGTGTATTGTAACTGTCTGTGTGTGATGTATAAGGATGGCTGTGTGTAATGTGTGCGTGTAGCTGTGAGAGATGTGTGTGGTTGCGTGTGGGTGGTATGTGTGGCTGTGTGAGTAGCCGTGAGTGATATGTTTGGGCCACTGTGAGGAGTAATGATTAGTAAGTAGTGAGATTGCATGGGCAAGATCTATGCACTAAAAAAAATGTGATTTAGTCAAAATAGTTTTTGGTGCTTAGACTGACATTTTAATTCACACTGCGCTCAAAATGTATAATCCTTGATTTAAATTTAGTGTCATTTATAGATTGCAAATCATAGCATTGGACAGATGTATGAACCAAACATCTCAAGGTGATTTAATGGTCATTACTTGCGCTCAATCTTTAATATTTATGCCTACATAAACACAAATACACATACAGCACACTGCAGTGATTATGGTGCGTGGAGAGTTAATTTCAACTTACTAAATTATTTGCTATATAATATAGGTATTGGGTATCAAAAAAGCTCTATTTGTCATTTAAACAAATCCTATACAATATGTGTAGGTACACTTAATACAAAAACGTAAAATCATAGTTATACAATCACGTATCTAATTCTACATGTTGTGTTGATTCTGAACTTCACTTTAGTCTTTAAGGGGTTAAAAATAATCTTCTATAAAATCATATGGAAAGTAAAAGCCTTCAGGGAAAGCATGCAGACTACATCGGAGACAGAATGTTTTACAGATTAGCTGCAGGTACCTAATTAAACCACCAGGAACCTTTATCATTGACTAGTGCAGCTGCATAAACGGTGCGGCATTATGCAGCCGCTCGGCTGCTGTTTGTAGTAGTAGACACATTGAGAGTGATTTGTACCCAGCAACGGAGACTAAAACAATATCACGAATATTATCTTTTCTGGCAGAAGGTTTTCAATAGTATGTTTGCTTATTCCCTATATTGAATGGACATGTTTTTGGGATGTCAGACAAATAAAATTAAAATTAGCTCCCTGTCTGTCATTGGTATATGCTTTGTCCTTTCCTATCATTGAACATGGTAAGTGGAAGTGAAAAAACAGAAATAATGTAAAGTGTGCGTTGACCATCCCAGGACTCAACTCATTCTATTTGACCCCCTTGGTTAAGTAGGTCTCAGGGAGCATACCGTGAGACTGAGGTGTATGTATATTAGGATTGGCACCTTTATGGTTTAAGTAGGTCCCAGGAATTTTACCTGGAGACTGAGGCATAGGTGTTGACTTTTTTAAGGACTAGGATCCTGTGACTCGGTAGGTCCCAGGTTTACAACTAAAGACTGAGCAGTGGCGGAACTGAAGGAGAGAGGGGCCTGGTGCAAGAATGTTTTTGGGCCCCCTATCGCAAGTATGGATAAAAAGGTAGATCTAGATCCCCCATCTGTTGCACAAATCCCACAATGCTTTGCCAGCTGGAGATCTATTAATTTCCCATCCTTGCGGGGCTGTATTTAACAGTGAGCAGTGTTTGTATATTTGTTTGTAGGGTTGTGTTGAGTGCTTTTATGTACAGTTCCATTTAAAAGCAGTGGTTTGTTTGTGTGTAGTGTTTGCGTTTGGAGTAATGATTAGTAAGTAGTGAGATTGCATGGGCAAGATCTATGCACTAAAAAAAATGTGATTTAGTCAAAATAGTTTTTGGTGCTTAGACTGACATTTTAATTCACACTGCGCTCAAAATGTATAATCCTTGATTTAAAGTTAGTGTCATTTATAGATTGCAAATCATAGCATTGGACAGATGTATGAACCAAACATCTCAAGGTGATTTAATGGTTATTAGTTGCGCTCGATCGTTATTTATGCCTACATGTTTGTATACAGTGTTGACATTTCAATTTGTACATACACACACATGCACACATCTGAATACACAGATACACACACACATGCAGATACACTGACACAGATACACACACTGACACACATGCAGATACTTAGTGTGTATGTTTGTGTATTTGTAGGTGTGTGTCTAATTATCTGCATGTATGTCAGTCTGTGTATCTGTGTCAGTGTGTCTGTGTATCTGCTTGTCTGTACCTGTGTATCTGTATGTGTGTCAGTTTGTGTATCTGCATGTGGGTCGTTGTGTGTGACTGTATATCTGACACACGCACAAATACACCGACAAACACACATATATACGGGGGCACACATTAACACACATATATACAGACACAGATAGATACACTGACACACATAGACACAGATATACACACTGTCACATAGATTCAAACCAAGTTACACAGACACATACAGACACACAAACATACAGATATACAGACACACATACAGGCAAAATGTACACATTTTAAGTCACCCTCCTGTTTCCTACCTTTTTGGTGCAGGAGGGAGACTTCCCCGGGGTCCAAATGGCTGGCTGAGCCTGTTGGGAGTAAGTCAGATATTCTCCCACTTAGCTAGCTCTCCTTTCAGCAACCCTCCCTTGCGGCTCAGTGTTATCTGGGAGGGAGTGATCATCTATCACTTCCTCCCATGCTCCAAGGATATAGAGGTCCATTCGTGTTATTAAAGGGCCAAAGCACTTACCAGACCCCTAAGTACCTAAGTGTGTGGGCCATGCTGCATTTGCACCGGCTGCACCAGTGGTAGTTCCTCCACTGAGACTGAGGTATCTTGTGTAGTTTTGTAGACCACAGATTGTTTTTCTGGGGACTGAGGTACTAATCCAATATCTCCAATATCCAAACCTTCTTAGTAAAGGGGCATTTAAAGCCAGTACATTTTGGAGCCTATACAAGGAGAAGGTCTTTTGACATTAATTCAGAGCTCTGACTAATTGCATGAATGCTGGGACCACAAAGGAGTGATTAGTAAGAGCTCCCTCTTAAACTTTAAAAGTTATTTAATATATTGCCAACATTTGCAGACCTTTATATACACCTTTAAGTGTATGGGCATTTCCCACATAACAGCTGGAAAATGCATAGTTTGGTGAAGTGTAATCCTGAAAATTCAGATGAATGGAATAATGTAACGTAGATTGAGAGCATACCCAAAGGGCACCTTGCTAAATGCTACCCTTCCCAAAGCTAAACCCTGCCAGCCCTCTGCAAAGTTGGGAATGGGAAGGGAAGGGCTAGCTTTTGCCAACATAGTTTTGGTATTTTAACCTGAATTTTAAAATTAGATGTTTCAATTTACCCCCTTTCACTGTTTAATGTTTAAATTATTAATTTATTTAGTGGTAGAAATAAATACAGCTCTTGGGTTGATATGATTATTTACTGGTTGGAGAAAGCAGGAACCGTGATCACATAACAAAGTGTCAGTAATATGATGACATGTACAGTGGGGATAAAATAAAAATAGTTCCATCGAGAACCTGATTAAACACGGCATAGGTAGTGAGGTCATTTATTAACCAGGAAAATAGTACTGAACGGTAGCTGGTCCATATACCATACAGACGGAATAAGAATAAGCAAACCCTCATTTCATTGAGAACACATTTCTTGTTTTGTAACTTTTTTCTTTAATTTTTAGTAATGCATGAGCCGTGGTGGATTCACAAAACACTATTATTTGTATTTTTTTTTTACTTTTAAAAGGGCACTCCAGAATGGAATTGACAAGCAATTTTTTCAATACATTATATGAACATTGTATTTAAAAATATGTGCAGAGACAACCGATTCAAAATACTGAAAAGATAAAAAGATACTCATATATTAAGTTGCTGAATTGTTTAAGAAATCCCCAGGTTTCAGGTCATCACCCTACAGCTTGTACATATTATTACAGTATTTATTATTAAAACTACTGTTCTTCAGTATGTAGAATTCGATTGCTGCAAGTGATGTGATCTGACATTGAGCATTCAGCAGGATATAAATTCTATGCACAGCTGGCCAGTAAAAAATAGCGACAACATTTTTAACGAGCCCCATAATTCTGGCAGCCCTATTAACATCTGCACACGTAAGGTAACATATCACATACGGGCATAGGCGTGCGTAGCCTATGGCATTAGGGTGTGCACCCTAATGCACAAACACACGCCCCATGTATATGTATGTATGTGTATATATATATAAGAAAGTAATCTTGGCACTCACCCTATTGTAAGCAAAAAAGGTATTCTTGCCTGTGTGCAAACTAATATACAAGGTGCACTCATAGGTCTTGATTAGAAGTTTTGTTTAATCACTGGTGTAAATTACATGTGCAGAAAGAAATCTGTGATCAATAAGGGTCGAAACGTCAATCAGATTTCTTTCTGCACATGTAATTTACACCGGTGATTAAACAAAACTTCTAATCAAGACCTGTGAGTGCACCTTGTATATATTTTTTGTTTTATATATATATATATATACACACACACACACACATACACTGCTGTGTGTGTGTGTGCTGTGTGAGGGTGCTGTGTGCAGGGCCGGACTGGGGATACAAAGTAGCCCTGGAAAAAAAAATCTATGCCAGCCCCATAACTCACTGTGCCATATATTGCCGTATGTAATATGCAAGGCTATGTCTTGTCACCCCAGATTGTTGAGTGATATATATAGATATAGATATATATAGAGAGATATAGAGATAGATATATAGCTTTTTCTAATATATAATATTGGTCCTTTCAGAGTAAAATGTTTAATTATACATTAAGCATACTCACATGCAGTGTTTTACATTTCTTCCTAGTGACACCTCTAGGAACAGTCACTAGAGGTGCTTCCTGTGTCAGTGCTGCACAGTGTGCAGCACCTACATTCAGGGCCTTTGCAGCCAATCCTATGGCAGAGCATTGGATTGGCTCAGATCATCAAGCTTGGTGATCTCAGCCATAGAGGCAGGGCCAGTCAAGGGGAGACCAGCACGGCATGGGGAGAAATAAGGTGAGTAAAAACACTTTTTAAATACACACAGACACACACACACCATGACACAGACACACCATGACACAGACACTCCATGACACAGACACACCATGACACAGACACAGACACACCATGACACAGACACAGACACACCATGACACACACACACAGACAGAATTACACATATTACCTGTGGGTGACCAGCTGGGTGGGCTAGTGGCCGTAGGGGGAGGTCTGCTGGTGGCCGCTGGCTGGGGGGGGTCTGCTGGGGGAGCTGTCTCTGCTCCCCAGCGCGCAGCTTAATGAGACCAAGGCCGGAATATCATATATCATATTCTGGCCCCGGTCTCATTAAGCTGTGCACGAGGGTGGGGTAGCAGAGACAGAGACAGCTCCCCCAGCAGACCCCCCCCCCCAGCCAGTGGCCACCAGCAGACCTCCCCCAGCGGCCACCAGCAGACCTCCCCCAGCCAGTGGCCGCCAGCAGACCCAGGTGTTTGTCTGGCCCCAGGTGCCGACGGTCCACCAGGAAATTTGCCGGTATCCCGGTGGGCCAGTCCGGCCCTGGCTGTGTGTGTAAGGGTGCTGTGTGTGTGTGTGTGTGTGTGTATGTGAGGGTGCTGTTAGTGTGATGTGTGTGTGAGGGTGCTGGTAGTGTGCTGTGTGTGAGGGTGCTGTTTGTGTGATATGTGTGAGTTTGTTAGGGTCCTGTTAGTGTGCTGTGTGAGGGTGCTGTGTGTGTGAGGGTGCTGTTTGTGTGCTGTGTGTGGGTGTTGTGTATTTGTGAGGGTGCTGTTAATGTGCTGTGTGTGAGGGTGCTGTTTGTGTGCTGTGTGTGGGTGTTGTGTATTTGTGAGGGTGCTGTTAATGTGCTGTGTGTGAGGGTGCTGTTTGTGTGATGTGTGTGAGTTTGTTAGGGTCCTGTGAGGGTGCTGTGTGTGTGAGGGTGCTGTTTGTGTGATGTGTGTGTGAGGGTGCTGTGTGTGGGTGTTTGTATTTGTGAGGTTGCTGTTAATGTGCTGTGTGTGAGGGTGCTGTTTGTGTGATGTGTGTGAGTTTGTTAGGGTCCTGTGAGGGTGCTGTGTGTGTGAGGGTGCTGTTTGTGTGATGTGTGTGTGAGGGTGCTGTGTGTGGGTGTTTGTATTTGTGAGGTTGCTGTTAGTGTGCTGTGTGTGAGGGTGTTGTGTGTTTGTGAGGGTGCTGTTAGTGTACTGTGTGTGTGAGCATGCTGTGTGTGTGTGTATGAGGATGCTGTGTGTGTGTGTGTGGGTGCTGTATGTGTATGAGTGCTACATGTGTATAGGTGCTCTGTGTGTGTGGGTGCTGTGTGTGCTGTATGTTTGGGGGGATTGTGGAGGTGGGGGCAGATTAGTAAATATCCCCCCTCTCTTCTTACCTTATGTAGGGAGGGGGGATCCTTGCTGCCATGTGCCATCCCTGGTGGTCCAGTGGACAGTGAACTCTAGCCGCGGCAATGCTCAGATCTTGCGAGAGGAACCTGGCGGAGCTGCTGTCTAGAGCTCCCCGGATCCTCTCCTGCCTCCCTCCCTCCATGCTGCTGTGAATCGGTGAGGTAGATCTTTGATCTCCCCGCAGGCCCATGGAGGCTTAGAGCAGAGCCAGCACTGAGATAGCACCAGCTCTGCATGAGCTGACAGGGGAGATCCTGAGATCTCCCATGCCGGTAGGGGTCAGGTCCTGGGGAATAAAGTGTGGGAACTCTCCCAAGATTCCCACACTTGTGTGTGTGTGTGTGTATATATATATATATATATATATATATATACACTGACACACATACTCAGACACACACACACACACTTACAGAAGCACACACATACACTGACACACATACACACTCACACATTTTGTTAATTAAAAAATGTCGACCCAGCCTCCCTACGTGGAGAGCTGACGTGGACATGTCCCTGGGGTCCAGTGCAGCATCATATTCCGGCTCCCGGCATCAGTAAACGGTGCACGGCGAGAGGGAGCAGAGAGAACACAGCTTCCTTGCCGCGTCTGATATGGAGACAGGCCCCTGAAGAGGGGGGGTCCATCACCTCTTGGCCCCCCCTATTACAAGGGGGAACACGGGGGGGGGGGCATTTGGGGAGTGCCTGCAGGAACAGCGGGAATGGCATTCCAGCTAAAAAATGCGTTCCCATGCGTTCCTGCAGGACTCAATCCATAGGCGGGCCGCTGGAATCAGGGTGTGCCCAGGCACACTACATGCGCACGCTTATGCATACAGGTATACACAGATACACAGAAAAAATGGCCCTAATGACACGCTATAGTTTTAAAAAATAAAACAAATAAAACCAAAATAAGGAAGTGAGGACTTGACATGAATAGGTATCAGAGAGCAAGTGGTTATTTTAATAACACATCTGTATTATAATAAATAATAAAGTCTAGAGCACTAAATTGTCAGAAATAATAATTTTTTTAGTATAAAACAATTGGTTGGGTTATTTTTGTACATGCTTAATTTTCCCTTTTTTTATGGGAACAGACTGTACCAGAGAAAGATATTGGCCTAAGTTTCTAAACGCTAAATGGTTTCCACTTCCACTTTGAATTTCCTCGGAGAGAGCAGTCGAGCGAGAAATAACTCCTCATGGATACAAGACACACAAGTGATTACTGAGCAAAGCAGATTAAGGCTTTTAATGGTGCTTTACACCCATAGCACAGGGGAAACTACAGTGCCACTTTGCCATTTGCAATTTTATTTTCGTACTATTGAGACACAAATGCGTAAATCTGTCAAGCAGAGCTTGAAGTGCTGCCCAGCAGTATGTATAATTCATGTTCTGCTAGCATGAAATCAAGATTGAATTGATTGAATTAATTGAAATCAATTAAGACTCCACAAGTAAATTCCGGTCGGATGGAAGTGTTCAGGTTTGGATAAAAAGGAATTTGATTAGTTCGTACCAGCTGAAACGTACATGTGCACATTACTAGTAATCACATCAAAGATAACAACAGATTAACTACAAATAAACATTACTAAATAAAATTACAAAGTGGAAACTCTAGGGAAATTCCTGTCAAGATTCAGTAATATGTTATATATGAATATAATGGAAATGTGAGTAGACGTTTTTATTTTTTAGTAGTACCCTCTTTTGAATTAAGCACAATACTTTTAGTTTCTTTTACGTCGAAGGTACAACCTTTTGTATACATAACCATTCTGGTTGAAAGGGTGTGTGGAGGGTGAGTCAATTTAAATGTATCAGTGTCTGAGGCCTTATATATTAGTGGCTTCCAACCCAATCTTTAAGTCTTACCATCAGTTTGGGTTACTGCAATGGCATTATGGGAGATGTAATCCAGAACATAATAATAATAATAATAACATCTTGAATTCTAAGGGTCAGTATATCCTTAGTAACTGAATTTGGAAATGCCTGCCGTCTGAGCTGTTCATGTGTCTTGTGAATTGGGTTGGGAGCTACTGATCAAGAACAGTGTCTTTTAAGCTCAGTGCTAGAACCAAGAGAGAAGACTTTCAGAATACTTGTGAATAGGTGTGTCTATGAAAACACTGAAAAACAAAAAACAAGTGTTGTGCTCTAGATTATACTTAGCATCCAATGATTAAAGGAATTCTGAAAAAAAATCATCACAAAAACACAAACTAGCGCAGATTATCCTTATTATAGATATAAAATAACTAATATACACATATGTGGGTTGCACTAACATTTACCAGAGCCCTCTCAACCCTGGCTCTGTGTGAGGGAATAACTACCACAACACAACACTTTTTTCTCTAAGATGGCACTCTTTATATGCAGTGGCCAGGGCCACCATCAGGGGATGACAACCATAACAGTTGTCATGGGCCCAGCGGCCCTGGGGGGCTCGGCCGCCCGGGCCCTATGTGTAACGGCGGAATTGCCGCCGGTGCACTTGCACCGGGGCCCGTGCGCTGATGGGGCCCATCAGGTGGCCAGGCACTTAGGGCCACACGATGGGCTCTATGTCTTCAGGGGCCCGGTCAACACTGTGGCCGTGGTATAGCGCGACCGGGCCCCTTTAAAAAAAAATGCCGCCACAGCGCAAGTGCTGCTGGGAGGAAGTGGTCACTTCTTCCCAGCTCACTCCGCGCGGGAGGAGCACGCGCCCGGCAGTGAAGAGGGAGAGCCAGCCGACTCCCAGTCCCATCAGCCCCAGCCACCCTCGTGCAAAGACAAGGTGAGAGACAGGAGGGTGGCTGGAAAATGAGCTCTGTATGTCTATGTATGTCTGTCTGAATGTCTATGTCTGTCTGTATGTCTGTCTGTATGCATGTCCGTATGTCTGTCTGTCTGTCTGTCTGTATGTCTGTGTATGTCTGTCTGTATGTCTATGTCTGTATGTCTATATGCATGTCTACGTCTGTCTGTATGTCTATGTATGTATGTCTGTATGTCTATGTATGTCTATGTATGTCTATGTATGTCTGTATGTCTGTCTGTATGTCTGTCTGTATGCATGTCTGTATGTATGTCTGGATGTCTATGTATGTCTGGATGTCTGTATGCATGTCTGGATGTCTGTATGCATGTCTGGATGTCTGTCTGTATGTCTATGTATGTCTGTCTGTATGTCTGTATGTCTATATGAATGTCTATGTCTGTCTGTATGTCTGTCTGTACAGGGAGTGCAGAATTATTGGGCAAATGAGTATTTTGACCACATCATCCTCTTTATGCATGTTGTCTTACTCCAAGCTGTATAGGCTCGAAAGCCTACTACCAATTAAGCATATTAGGTGATGTGCATCTCTGTAATGAGAAGGGTGTGGTCTAATGACATCAACACCCTATATCAGGTGTGCATAATTATTAGGCAACTTCCTTTCCTTTGGCAAAATGGGTCAAAAGAAGGACTTGACAGGCTCAGAAAAGTCAAAAATAGTGAGATATCTTGCAGAGGGATGCAGCACTCTTAAAATTGCAAAGCTTCTGAAGCGTGATCATCGAACAATCAAGCGTTTCATTCAAAATAGTCAACAGGGTCGCAAGAAGCGTGTGGAAAAACCAAGGCGCAAAATAACTGCCCATGAACTGAGAAAAGTCAAGCGTGCAGCTGCCACGATGCCACTTGCCACCAGTTTGGCCATATTTCAGAGCTGCAACATCACTGGAGTGCCCAAAAGCACAAGGTGTGCAATACTCAGAGACATGGCCAAGGTAAGAAAGGCTGAAAGACGACCACCACTGAACAAGACACACAAGCTGAAACGTCAAGACTGGGCCAAGAAATATCTCAAGACTGATTTTTCTAAGGTTTTATGGACTGATGAAATGAGAGTGAGTCTTGATGGGCCAGATGGATGGGCCCATGGCTGGATTGGTAAAGGGCAGAGAGCTCCAGTCCGACTCAGACGCCAGCAAGGTGGAGGTGGAGTACTGGTTTGGGCTGGTATCATCAAAGATGAGCTTGTGGGGCCTTTTCGGGTTGAGGATGGAGTCAAGCTCAACTCCCAGTCCTACTGCCAGTTCCTGGAAGACACCTTCTTCAAGCAGTGGTACAGGAAGAAGTCTGCATCCTTCAAGAAAAACATGATTTTCATGCAGGACAATGCTCCATCACACGCGTCCAAGTACTCCACAGCGTGGCTGGCAAGAAAGGGTATAAAAGAAGAAAATCTAATGACATGGCCTCCTTGTTCACCTGATCTGAACCCCATTGAGAACCTGTGGTCCATCATCAAATGTGAGATTTACAAGGAGGGAAAACAGTACACCTCTCTGAACAGTGTCTGGGAGGCTGTGGTTGCTGCTGCACGCAATGTTGATGGTGAACAGATCAAAACACTGACAGAATCCATGGATGGCAGGCTTTTGAGTGTCCTTGCAAAGAAAGGTGGCTATATTGGTCACTGATTTGTTTTTGTTTTGTTTTTGAATGTCAGAAATGTATATTTGTGAATGTTGAGATGTTATATTGGTTTCACTGGTAATAATAAATAATTGAAATGGGTATATATTTGTTTTTTGTTAAGTTGCCTAATAATTATGCACAGTAATAGTCACCTGCACACACAGATATCCCCTAACATAGCTAAAACTAAAAACAAACTAAAAACTACTTCCAAAAATATTCAGCTTTGATATTAATGAGTTTTTGGGTTCATTGAGAACATGGTTGTTGTTCAATAATAAAATTAATCCTCAAAAATACAACTTGCCTAATAATTCTGCACTCCCTGTATGTCTATGTCTGTCTCTATGTCTATATGCATGTCTATGTCTGTATGTCTATGAATGTCTGTATGTCTATGTCTGTCTGTATGTCTGTCTGTATGCATGTCTGTATGTCTATGTCTGTCTGTATGTCTATGTCTGTCTATATGTCTATGTATGTATGTCTGTCTGTATGGGTATGTCTGTCTGTATGTCTATGTCTTTCTGTATGTCTATGTCTGTCTGTATGCATGTCTGTATGTCTATGTATGTCTGTATGTCTGTCTGTATGTCTATGTATGTCTGCCTGTATGTCTATGTATGTCTGTATGCATGTCTGTCTATATGTCTGTCTGTATGCCTGTCTGTATGTCTATGTCTGTCTGTATGCATGTCTGTATGTCTGTATGTCTATGTATGTCTATGTATGTCTGTCTGTATGTCTGTCTGTATGTATGTCTGTATGCATGTCTATGTCTGTTTGTCTGTCTATATGCATGTCTATGTCTGTCTGTCTGTATGCATGTCTGTATGTCTGTCTGTATGTCTATGTATGTCTCTATGTCTATATATGTCTGTCTGTATGTCTATGTCTGTCTGTATGTATGTCTATATGCATGTCTATGTCTGTCTGTCTATATGCATGTCTATGTCTGTCTGTATGTCTATGTATGTCTGTATGTAGGTATGTCATTATGTGTGTATGAATGTCAGTGTATGTATGTCTGCATGTCATTATGAATGTGTGTATATATGGATGTCAGTGCCTGCATGAATGTATGTATGCCAGTATGAATGTATGTCTGTGTATGTATGTGTGTAAAAAAATGTCTAGGTCATGTAATGAATAAAACCCAATTATATATCTAAATGTTGATTCTGGTTTCTCTCTGCTTCAGAGATGACGTTGCAAATCCTTTGCAACTTAATATTTATGAGATTATTAGAAATGAGAGAGAAATGCTTTACATTTTATTTTATAGTTCATAAATACTTTAAGACTGCATGGTGTGTCAATGAGGAAAATAGTAAATATATCCATGAGATTATTTTATAATGAGGCATTCTTGAAGACTTGGCAGCCTGGATCAGACTTGCAGCTTGATGTAGGGCTCTGAGCTTTCACTTGTAGTTTGTGTTTTGAAAACCCTTTTATTCTGCTTGGCAGTATCACATTGTGTGCTTGGTATTTAGGTTTGCAAAAAAAGGACCTGTGTTAGAGCCGTGACCTTGGAAAATCCATGGAATTTGCTGGCACATGCTCCTCTGACATTTGTGCTCACAATGTCCATGCTTTTTTGCATGTAAAATGCGTGGATTTGATCACTATAGAAATGTAGCACACAGAGCAACTTTACCTGTGTGCATGTTAGTGAAGGCAATGATCTTATTTCAATGACATCTATGACGTCCACCGTGAACATGCGTTTTCATGGATATTGCACGGTGCAAAAAATTCTTAATTTAATGTACATTTTTCAAGCAAAAAAAAAAATTAATGCTGTACTTTTACATTGACTTCGGTTCTTAATCCAGCTGAATATGGTCAGATGATATCAGTACCTTCCAGCGACAGAAACCTAACAAGGTTCAATCTGAGTCCTCTTCCATGTAGAGAGGAATGAAAAGAGAGACTTTACACTTCTAGATATAGAATCTTAGACATAGTTTTTGCCACAACTCATCCCACCTCTGTATGAGCTTTTTATAGACTTGAATTATCATATACCTATTCTTAAATACTGTTAAGGCCTGGTTTACACTATTACACTAATGATTCTTAATCAAGGTTTACATAGTCTCAATCAGACTCAAGTAGACCAATGTTCTAGGTTTTGTCAGCATCTCCATATATATGCATATGCATATAGACATCCAATTGTGTCTAGTCTGGTCTAGGTTAATTTTATGGTCACTAGATTTGGTCCTGTCTCCACTAACAATGAAAAATTATTGAATAATTAAAAATATGTACTAATTTCTAAAAGATTTATATGAATCTACAGACAGTTGAGCAATTAATGGAATAACATCATGTTTGTCTCCATAGGTTGTTGTTTCTGGGTTGCCATCCTGGAGGGAAAAGTTGTCGGGATAGTGGCAGCCAGAGGAAATGAGGAAGACAATGTGGTAGAGCTACGCCGCATGTCCGTAGACTCCAGCTATCGGGGGAAAGGCATTGCCAAGGCCTTGGGGCGCAAAGTTATAGAGTTTGCAATGTTGAATCACTACTCTTCCATTGTTCTTGGAACTACAGCCATCAAGATAGCGGCACACAAACTATATGAGTCCTTAGGGTTCAAGCACGTGGGTGTAAATGAGCATCATACTGTTCCCAGCATGACCAATTCGCTGGTGGAGAGAATGTTTTTCCAGCTTCGCTACCACCGGTACTGCCTTCAGTTACGTGAAGAATAAGGAATGTCGATTTCCTTCACAGTCCTACAACCAGCTCTGAGTGTCTTTTAAACCTGCATGATGTAGTTGACAAAAAGTATTATTTGCTGGCATAAAACCCGATAATCTGAATAATTTTTATCCTCTGCAGTGATTGTACAACAGGACAAGAACTGGCCCACTCACGCTGTCATATTGTCCTTTTAATGGTGGGAGTTTGTTCCCTTTTATTTCATATGCGGTATTACTCAAATAAATTAATAAAATACACTTCCAAATGTCCATGAAAGCACGATCTAGGTGACTAAGCACAGAGACCTAAATACCGACCTGGTGTAAATAGCTTTTCTTAAATGTAAATTAATATATTCGTATTAAAATAGTCATAGAATTACAGTTTCAATGTGACATGATTTATTGCACCAGTAGACTCTATTGAGCTAATAGATCTTCAAGGACGATGTTTAGAAACATCTCTTAGTAGAATGCACGCAGAGGAAGTGTTTGCACGCACTTACACAAAACACTGCCAATGAAGACTTGAATTCTCACCTTATTGGACGTGCTCCACAACTCTGCCAAGTCTATGAATCGGCCAAGCGTTTGTGACGTTACGCTATGTTCATGTCATTTTTTTAAGCCAGCAAACAAACCAGTTGCATCTAGACCCCAGTTGTAGGATTCTGTATCTATGTATTAATCTGTAAATATGATCATCAGCTGTTTCAAAGTATTTAGAATCTTGGACTCTTGACTTTGATGCAGTTTCTCTTCTCTGGTCATCCTAAAAAGCTTTGCAAATATACATGATCATTGATTTCAACTGCATTTTGAAACTGTTTAACGTGATAAAGTACCTGTATTTGGGACAGAATGTATAGAAATCAATCTGTTCCCTATTCATATTATATATGGACAATGCAAGTTGCCTTTGTAAGTTTAGATGCTTTTAGCATATCAGCATACTGAATTATTTAATGCAAATAGCAATGCAACCTAGATTTGGCATGTGTCGGTACTTTGAGCGCCACAAACTCTGAACCCAAATCAGCGGATTCTTCTCTTCTGAACTGCTTCATTTTTACAAATTGTGTGTATATAAAATTTTGCATGAAAATCAGTAAATTCTTCATTTAAACTAGCTTATATATCTGAAAATAGTTACAAGTCCATTTTTATTTTCTTGTAATAGATTTAATCATTTTTATTTTCTTTTTTAAAATGAATGTATTTATATGTACACTTTTTGTTTTGCAGAAAAAAACAACCAACTGATCGTGCAGGTGGGCTGATAATGGTTAAACTAGTTTATATTCAAAACCAGTTCACATGCTAGATGAGTATGGTTAGAATTCATATCAAACAAAACAATCAGAAATTATGGCATTTAACTTAACCCCTTAAGGACACAACGTCTGGAATAAAAGGGAATCATAACGGAATATTTCCTTCATGTGTCCTTAAGGGGATAAGATACATCCTGCATCACACGGGTGAGCTTCTTCTCCACTCCAGGTGTTTTGATGTCCAGTTCTGCTCTGCAAGCCATAAATGTTTATTGATTGATTGCGAGTGACCCTCTGCCATGCAGTATTCAGAAGGCTTTGCAGTGCATCATGGGAAATGGAATACAGTATCTGTAACAGCAGTGTTCTTATGCTGTAACAGCTAGACATACTTCATACTGTAGAGTCTGTCTCTGGAGATAATAACAGTTTAAGTTGGGGTGTCCAATCTGCAGCCCCCCAGATGTTGTTGAACTACAACTCACATGATCCCTTAGCTATCTGTTTCATTGTAGTTCGGCAACGTCTGGGGGACCGCAGGTTGGACAGGCCTGATTGGTGGTAACACTCATGTCTCGAGAAAAGTATTCTAAGGAAAATTTTATATATATCCACATTCAGCTCCGGATAATTGGTTTGGGTTTCCCAACTATAGCAAACCTGCCTTAATACATCATGTATGTAGCTAATAATTGCCATGCAAAAAGTTTTATATTTGCAACAAAATGTATTAAAAGATCATACTAATGGTTAGATCACGGTTTAACAATCTTAACTATTGTGTTGTCTCTTACACATGTAGGTTTTCATTTTTCTTATTTTCATACGTATAGAGGTATATTTATACGTGGTTCTAAGTACAAAGGGAAAAATAAGACTATTTAAATGTGTGGCAAATACATTCACCCATGTATAATCTACACATTATGCTGTCAGCAATCAAATAGACTAAAATGTATTTACACCTGAAAATTGGTGTGGAAAATTTGATGGCTGCCACAAACATATTACACAATGCAGACTTTATGATAAGCAGCAAATATTCTGAGATAGGGCGGATGTGAATCTATCAGTAATGCTATATTTGCAGTATTTTACCCTTTCCTAGCAGTATAGAATAGTTTTAAAAAAATAACATTTAAACTGTGCATTTGCTATCAATGTGGCTTGCAGATGGTACAAGTAATATTTTATTTCTTATAAAATAGCATGATCTTTTTCTATGACAGGTGAACTGTGATGTTAGAAGTATTTACACATTTAACGGCATATCTAAAAAAAAAAACCTTTTGGACCAATGTTGGTCTATGTAGTCATAATATGTTCTATTCCAAAATGTAAAGCCTCACTCAATTAACAAATACATGGCTGGATGGAATGCCAAACACAACATTCCATGCTGACATAAGGTATTTAGGGACCAAAGTACAATGCCAGCAAATTGTAACATGATCATTAAAAGGTTAAATGTTTTTAAAAAGCCTAAACCTTTCTAAGAAATCCATATTTTTTTCCAAAGATTTTAAATTATAAAAAAAAGGGAAGGTAATATATATTTTTTAGATTTTTTATTTTAAATTTGTATATTTTTTTGTACTGCTATTCCCAATGCATCCAGGAACTTATTAGCTTAATTTCATTATTTACATTTTTTAAATATAATTTCTAAAAATTATTTTTTTTACATGAAGTCTTATCAAAACATATTTTTTTTATTTATTTTGAATAGGAGAAAGGTAGACATTTATTAAGTTGGTGTTTATGGCTATTATAGCAAATATGTGTTTTTTTTTGTTTTTTTATGGATACATTTAAAAATAATTTTGGAATATAATTTCATATTAAAATTCATCGGCAAAAGTAAATGCTTTGTAAAATAGTTGTTTTCTAAAAGATTTATAAATATCATAATTGGCTGTCTGATGAATGCACAAGTCCATTTAACTCTAAAAAAAATATTCACATACTTGAATATATGAGCACATTATGATTTAAATGACTTGGGTTTATACAATAAGCCATGAGCAGTGGGGAATGTGCAACATTTAGGTCACAATATTATTTAAGATGCAAAGCATCATGGGAATGTAATTTTATTACAACTAGAGACCCACAATTTGTTCACCTTTGCCTTACTGCTGCCATTAAAGAGAGATGATTTTAATGTGGCTTAAAGGGACACTATAGGCACCCAGACTACTTCAGCTCATTGAAGTGGACAAGGGGCAGTGTCCCTGTCCCCCTTAATCCTGCACTGTAAAATGTTGCAGTTTTCAAGAAACAGCAAGGTTTCCATTGCAGTACTCTAGAGGCGCTTCTGGCATCTTAATGAACTCTAGGTCGCCTAAATGATGCAGGTCGTCTTCATGCTGTGCATGAGGAAATACAGTATCAGTATAATCCCTACAGGAAAGCATTGAAGCAATACTTTCTTATGTAGAGGGCACAATGCTCTCGCAGTGCTCGCATTAGGTCCCTCTGTCGTATAATGTCATAGGGACATCGCGCTGAGGGACATCGGTGCTGGAATCAAGTGAGCAAATAAAGTCAAGCCGGGGGCATGAGGGGGAAGGACTAGAGGGAACTTTAGTGTTAGGTATACAACTTGGTATTCCTAACACTATAGTATCCCTTTAAAGGAACACTAATGGCACCCAGACCACGTCATCGCTGGTTCTGTCATTTTAACCTTTCAATGTAAAACATGGCAGTTTTGTAGAAACATAATGTTTACATGGAAGGGTTAAATACACCTCTAGCAGCAGTCGGGAAGACAGGAACTTCCTTCTCCAGAAGCAAGTGAAACCCGGCCCTGGAATAAAATGCGTCGGATGGCAACATTTTATTGGAGAAAAGCAGTGTTTGGTTGCGCACGCCTTATCCCAATCCATACCTCCTTCTTGAGAAGCATTGCGTTGGAGAAGAACTCGGAAGATTTTTACGGGCAGGATCATGTCCTTGAAGGCTGGGTGGCCGGCTGCAGCAGAGAAATCGGCACTGGAAGTGAGGTAAGTAATCTCCTTTAAACTTTAAGATGGATGGACAAGGAGGGGTGCACAGAAAGGAACCTTCCTAAAAAACTATTATTATTTTCAGGACTATAAATTCCCTTTAAGCCCTCTCACTGCTTTCAAGACGAGCTATAAAAGCAACGTTTTTTTTCTATACTGCACTGTGAATTGTCACTTCAAAAACATCTTTTTAAGATAGTGAACTTTATAACAAACAGAAAGAAATGAATTGCTTGGCTGTTTTGTAATCAGGTTCTCTGCATGTATTGGTGTATCTCAAAGTGCAATTATACAAGACTGTGATTGGTTCCAGTGATATAGATCCATTGCAGACCTCAATGCAACTGTTCAATAAACATATAACTGCACTACATATAAACCAATTATATAAATAGAAACATATTGACAGTCCAATAGTATTTAAATCAGTTATCAATATCTAAAACTCTTGGAAGTCAATGAGTGCCCAATGATTGATTCTGTACTAGACTTGTGCAATATGAAAATATTTGGTTTGGCCAAAAGAATTTCCAATAATGAAATTTAATTTGGGTTTTCATATTTTCCTTCATTTAACAGTTCAGCTCATCCAAATAATGATAATTGAAAATTAATGAAAACGTTATGGCAAACCTAAAATAGCATAAAAATGGTCCAATCAGTGATGAGCAGTACTTTAGACCTAGCTCCCTTGAGTTACACAGGGGTCCTGGAAACATTTTTATTGGCACCATTAACAAGCCATGTTTGAAGAATGAAAGGGGGCCTCAAACTGCAAGCCTGTCTAGGGCCCTGTGGGATTTTAACCCTTCTCTGAACCAGCGTCCTGAAAAATGGATACATAATATATATTTCGCAGTACAATGGTGGGCAAATTTCCCCACCATTCACAGATCAAGTGAGAAAATGTAATCAAAATGAATGCACAAGTCTATACTGTACTATGTCTGGGCAAGCACTGAACCTAACTGTGCACTGCCAGGCCATGCGCAGGCCAGCTAATCATGTGCCAATGTCATCAAAAAGAGTTTGAAAGACCATTTGACTACTTGGCATTTCTTCCAGAAAGACATATTATTTCCTGGACACGACAAGGATCAAAATATTATTTTTCCTGGCACTCCACAGCAGAGAGAATAAAATAGATATTGCCTTTGTTAACACAATGAAAATATGTTTATGTATTTTAAATAAACTGAGGGAGTTTATTTACTAAAAAGTGAGCAGCAGATGGATATTTAGTTCTATAATTTGTGAATTTTCACAATAAGTTTGGTTGGGGAATTTATTGACTAAATTTGGAATAGTAGATAATTCGCCGAAATAGGACATTTAAAAAAAAAAAATCTCAAATTAGTTCATTTTTCAGTTTGGCTTTTTTTTTGGTCTGGTTTGGTAAATAACCTCTGCTAACGAATAATCTCATATGTGTGCACTAATTGTTTAAAAACCTAGTAAAACAGGTAAATGCATAGTAAAGATGTATAAAGGTACAATGTACTCACACAGGGGCTTAGATGTGGCATTCTAGCCTATGCTAAACAGTCAACAGTGGACTGAAAACAACTAAATTTGGAAATTAAGCCTGAATTAGTCACACTTTGGTTATAGTTTGAGAATCTTTCCAAATCATTTGCCGTTTCCTAAATCTTTCAATTCGATTTGCCATTAATTCTAATCTGCTGTGTTTGAGAATTCCCATGGTGTTACTTTCTCCATTAGGTCACGAACACAATGTACTGTTAACACTTTGAGTGCCTGTGGATTGCAAAGCATTGTACATACCTGTGGCACTCAGACGGTTAAATGCTGTTTGCTACCTTTTGTTACAGACCCATATTTTACTATGTACTTTATTGAAATGTACATGTTGCCTAACTGTAGTAGAACAATGTACAGATAGTTCTAAGAATTTTGTACAGTGTATAGAAATTGGTTCAATTATTTTCTTGCTGCTTTTAGTGATTAACACATTAATGGAGAGGGTGAAATGTAATTCAGAGAACAGTTTGTGCCTTTTTTATTTTCCTTTGCATTTAGTCTACAGTCAGAAAGTATTGTGTGTTCTATCATCTATTTCTGTGAGAGAGAATTAAACTACATGCCAGAGGATAGTTAACAAATCCAGCAAAAATAGTCACAGGAAGATGTCACAGAAAAAAGTAACCCATAGCTCTATTCCTACCCCTAACCATTCCACTATTCCTACCCTTAACCCTGTCTTTATTCCTACACTTAACCCTGTCTCTATTCCTACCCTTAACCATTCCACTATTCCTATCCTTAACCCGGTCTCTATTCCTACCCTTAACCATTCCACTATTCCTACCCTTAACCCTGTCTCTATTCCTACACTTAACCCTGTCTCTATTCCTACCCTTAACCATTCCACTATTCCTACCCTTAACCCGGTCTCTATTCCTACCCCTAACCATTCCACTATTCCTACCCTTAACCCGGTCTCTATTCCTACACTTAACCCGGTCTCTATTCCTACCCTTAACCATTCCACTATTCCTACCATTAACCCGGTCTCTATTCCTACACTTAACCCTGTCTCTTTTCCTACCCCTAACTCTACCTCTATTCCTACCCCTATCCTTACCTCTATTCCTACCCCTAACCTTATCTTTATACCTACCCCTAACCTTATCTTTATACCTACCCCTAACCCTACCTCTTTTCCTACTCCTAACCTTATCTCTTTTCCAACCCATAACCTTTTCTCTAGTCCTACCTCTAACCCTACCTCTATCCCTACCCCTAACCGTACCTCTATTCCTACCCCTAACCCTATCCCTACCCCTACCCCTACCCCTATCCCTACCCCTACCCCTAACCCTACCTCTATTCCTACCCCTAACCCTACCTCTATCCCTACCCCTAACCCTACCTCTATTCCTACCCCTAACCGTACCTCTATCCCTACTAACCGTACCTCTATCTCTACCCCTAACCCTACCTCTATCCCTACCCCTAACCCTACCTCTATTCCTACCCCTAACCCTACATCTATCCCTACCCCTAGCCGTACCTCTATCCCTATCCCTAACCCTACCTCTATCCCTACCCCTAGCCGTACCTCTATCCCTACCCCTAACCCTACCTCTATTCCTACCCCTAACCATACCTCTATTCCTACCCCATACCTTATTTTTCTTCCTACCTCTATTCCTACCCCTAACCCTGAAGAATTCCCTCTGTTAATATCATTACTAATATTATCAGGTGGATTTACTAGTTAAAACAATAGAAAGTGGTCTGTGACAACATTAAAACGCTGAATATACATGTAATGGCACAATATTATGTAAGCTGTTTTCAGTCTTTACATATCATGTTTTGTTTCTAAATGATTGACTTAAATGTTTGGTTTTCATTACTTTACTTTGCTTAAGAACATTAATAAATATATTTTCTTTTTTTTACATTAGTGTTAGGCCCTTATGTATAAATAATGTTGCCAGCATGTAAACCTCGTATATGGTCATCTAATACATGTTTTAAAATTGTTTAATTGTTTGTGTATGATATTTAAATAAAATGTGACTTTTTTTTCCTGTGACCTTTTTTTTCTATCCATTGAGTTAAACTCCCTGATAACATTAGCAATTTCACAGATGACACATTTCCCTTCTTATAAACTGTGGATCACTGAGAAACAAATTAAATCTAAGCATATGAAAGAAAACAATATTTAAAATGAAAGTGGTGACATTTGTTTCGGGTAGTTTATAAAATATAATCTAGGCATTGTGCTAGCAAATAAACTAGCAAATAAATGAATTAATTGTTACGCTTTTGAAGGCTCATCTGTTCAGTGAGATACATGTGGATAACTCGGTCACAGAATGATATGCAAATAATTGGGCACATGGCATTCTGGGATTGAGCTTTTTAGGAAGGGGTAAGGCTGCATGTGGATATGCTAGAAGCATTGCCTTGCACAGTGTGCATGTGGTGTTTGATTGCCTAAGAAGTATCACAATACTATTTTTGCTCCAAGTGCTTTTAACAGGCTGTATTTACAAGATGGTAACTACACTATATGAAATCAGCGGAAGCCAGTGTGCCACTTTGTAGCAGTAAGTAGAAATCATGCTGGTATGACTGATTGCGGTCTGTGAAATTTCAACAGACATTAAATCAATACAGTTATTACACAGTTTTTATCCTTAATCAATATAAATTATACAACGGCCATCAGTTATCACAGTGCATCTTGATGCCAACTGCATTAATGGAAATTTGGAATGATAAATCAATTTTTGTGCTTATTAATTGTGAAACCCCAAATAAGTTTAAGTAAAAAAACTACAGCAATGAGACGTACGTTTTCAAACCTTTGAACTATTCTGATACACAGACACGTTTAAAACCAGTTCAGCTATGACCACCTGAATAAGTATGGAGGTAAACTTGAAAATCGAAGAACTTACATAATACAACATTTACGGCATTGGAGCTTAAATAGTTGTGGTTATTCAGAACTGGCAAGAGAATTGCAATTTTTCAAGCCAACATTAACATATTTGGAAATTTCTTTAATTCTGCTATCTTTCCATCTTTGGCATTGTGACTTACATTTTGCAATTCCCTTGAGAATTTCTGATTTTGTGGTTTACCTCTGATGCCTTCATGGGTTGTTAACTGTGATATTTCAGAGCACCGAGATCCCTTTTTCATTCATGCAATTCTATTCTAAATTTGAATTAATATAAAAAGAAACAAGATGGATGGCTCAAATTGTAGTATTTGTTTTATCATATGTCGTATTTCTCACACCCTACAGGAATTTAAATGGTTAAAATGCATTTTGTACACCTGCTTTGCAAAGAACGAATCTTGCTACCCTGATTATCTTTATTAGTATGTGAAACCTTTAAATCTCTTAAGGTTTACATTTACATTTTATTTTGTCAGAAAGAAGAGGATTCATTCCTACGCATAATTTTTGTAGCATATTTATTTCTTTGTCATTGTGTACAAACCCATTTGCATCTCTGTGCAAAGGGGTTACTCTGTAGCAAAAGCTATAGGATGCAAAGGTCACCTCTCTGCCCCATAAAGGGTTAAGGGTACATTAATGTCTGCAGGTAATACAAAAGTAGTTATTCAATAAATAGTAAGCTGGAGTGAATTGATAACAGAGTTTAAAAACGTGGACCAGGTTAGCCAAAATAGGAATGGCTTAACTCTCTCGGCCAGCAAGAGAGGACTGCATTCTGTGCTGAAAACATATTATTTTGCAGTAATCTGATTATGGAATTTGAAACAATTACACTTGGTAGATGAGGGTACACAGAATATACAATGTTTTGGTTGTGAAAATTGTACCATTTTGAACATTCCTGTGATGAGATATGAACTTAAACTCGTTTGAGTAGGGACTCTCAAATCCCTCTGATTTTGTGCGTCCTCAAGCACAATTTGTAGGGAGCCAATATTCAGCCCTATTAGAGAAATGTTGAACAATTGTTTATAGTTAAAGCATTCACAAGACAGTCATTATAGGAAACATGTTTGAGTCTATGCAAAGTTATATGTGTAAATGAACATTTAATGACTTACTGCAACTACTTCCATGAAAAATAATTTAATATTTTTATAAAGGTCAACGTCATTCATTAAAACACGAATTGTGGAGAAATTCTAATATAATAGTAATTAGAGTTAAGTAAAAACAAATTGCAATATTTACACTAAAATACCCGAGCTGTGACTATTGCTGAGTTGTAGAATTCTTCCAAATCAAGTATTGCTGTTTAAATTTTGCAATTTGGTTTACAGTTTACTATGGTTAGGTGATCTGGTTTTGCAACACCTCTACTATCTGTAGACATGGTTGTGACCGTGGTTAATCCATTGAATTAACTAGAGGAGGAAGATGGTTGCCTTCCATCAGACCCATCAAGACCAGGCCATTCCCTTCATATTTTACTTCTAACCTGATCAAGATGTGTCATGTTCAGCTCTGATTCATAACAGGAGTATATACAATTCATAGAGATCATATTCATTCTTAATATGGTGAAAGTAGAGGGCAATAAAAGACAGGAAAGAGATAGCTAATAGTGGCTATCTTTTTCTTACTTCCTATAAATCACAAATAAAATGCAATGCACATTAGATCATTTTTATAATGGCACAAACAAAACAACAAACTGTGACTAGGCTCATAGCAACCTTTGAAGAGAACATGAACAACATCTTCAATGTAAATTAGCCTATCTCACTCACTGATCGCAACTAATTATATCCTTTAAGTATGTTAGCTCTATTAGCTGAGCTAATTAATCTCTTCTATCTTTTAGCCCACTGCTGAGATTTCCTCAAAAAAGCAAAGGTCTTGTTTCCAACTGGGCAGCAATTTTTACTTTTCTCTACAATGTTAGAGAAAAAAGGTAAAGGAATTTACTGTTCATGATGGAACTAACAGATACATTACAATATTGAGTCAGCTCAACAAAAGAGCAAGGTCAAATCATTTTTTCAGCTACCATTGATTTTACTTTTATTAAACTGATGAAAAACGAGGTATAAAGGTTAACTCCAAGAAAAAAACATTGCTTTTTTGAATAGAGCAATCCTTACTGGCACCCCCCACCACCTCCCAAAAAAGTAAAAACGCACCTTGATCCAACAACATAGCCAATTCTTCCGGCAGCCCAATTCTCCTACGGTGATTTCAATCACCTGATCTGGATGGGGATTGATGCCAGGTGGACAGACTGAGGGGGAGGATTTTTAAATAATAATTTAGGTGGCATGGAGGGAGGAGGGCCATGCTGCCACTGGTCGCCTGTCACCATCATGCTGTGTGTGCTGACCGGCGTCCAGTATGGACATTAACTGGTCCAGATCTCTTGTTTTACGGTGAGCCACATAATTGCAATGTTTTTCTACATTGTATCATAATACAGAAAATGTTTGTAGAGAATTTAGATGTGATTTCTTATTTATATTCTTTGCATGTCATTTTGAAGATATATTACTAGCCGACACAGAAACCAGAGAACTGCTAAAAATGAATAAAATTATACTGAAGATTATGATGACTGATTATGATTAATATATACAGTGCAGTGATCTAGCCAGTAGAATACTTCAAGTAGAACTTCACCTTAGCAATACCCAAAGTGGGGGCCAGGCGGTGGGCAACTGAACAGTGAGCTGGTTCCAAGGGACTCAGGAACATTAACCACTTCAATGAGATGAAGAAATTAAGGGGCCTATAGTGAGATGAAGATAGTTTTTGGTCATGTCATGCATTATTTCATATCTTATTTTACACTGAACTCATTTACCATCATTGACAGCCATCTTCTTTTTGAAAGTTTACGAATTTCACCCTTTGCACACTAGTTTTGTATATGGCTGAAATCAGTGGCAGAACTACTGCATCGGGGTCCGCAAACTCAGGGGGCTCATCGGGTGGCCCATACACTTAAAGCTACTCAATAGCCATCATTCATTAGTGGCGTGGTCAGGTGTGGTAACATCATGACCAAGCCCATGCTCTGTGTAAAAGCCATGGTGCTGGGAGGAAGAGAGTATAAGTCACTTCCTCTCAGCTAAACAATGAGCTACATGGGAGAGGGAGACAGGGGAGAACAACAGAGAGGACAGCCAGGACCAAAGAAGAGGGAGAGCCTGGACCAGACTCCCATCAGACTTAGCCATATGCCACCGGACTCCATGGAAGCTAACCTCCTGCACCAGAAAGGTATTGAAGCAGGGGGTGGCTAATATATGTAAATTGTGATCTGTGTGTGTGTGTATATGTCACTGTGTATATCTGTGTGTATATATATATATATATGTTATCTGTGTGTGTATATTTGTGTATATGTGCTATCTGTCTGTATATGTAATATCTGTGTGTGTATGTGTGTGCATATGTACTATATATATGTATATGTGAGTCTATGTGAGTCTATGTGAGTTTTAATATTTATGCAAGGGCAGTATATGGCAAAGCATTGTGGGAGGTGGGGATCTACCTTATGGACCTGAAGATAATTCTTGCTCCACGGCCCTCTCTACATTATTTCTGCCACTTGTTGAAACTGTTTACTTGTAACTGCAAGATCCGTCAGTTAATGGCAAATTGAATGGAAGTGTGCAATTTAATTATTTCAAAAGGAATTCAGCCTCATCCTAGTCTGCAGTCAGCGGAGCCCACGACAGACCACTTGGTTCTTGCAGTCTCAGGAATCAGGGTGAAATAGGTGTAGTCATTAACCGCAGTAAACTAGTAAAGGGGTCCACAACATGAAAACACTATTCACCTTAGCCATAGCATTCTAAATAGCACATCTGGTAGCACAGATCCTCTACCTTCTCTTCACATTTGTTGTCACAGAATTGCTGCACTTACAAGTGGACCATTTGCTAGCTGTGGAGCTATTCATTTTTACTTTCTCATTGTTCTC